GAGGGAGGACCAGGGCAGAGCCATGGTTGCCCCTTCTTCCTGAAAGGAGGGAGGGACCTGCTCACAGTAGCCAGAAACCCAAATGGGAAGATTCTGCCAGCTCTGTACCCTTTTGGTAGGGGGCTTGGAGGGGCAGTGTTGAGGGATAGCCTCAGAATCCCACTTTGTCATACCAACAGTCTGCTGGCTACTTAAGTGTCCTTGGTCCTTCTCAGCCATCTTGGTTGGGGTCTTGAGCAAAGTCAGTGTTGGGATTGTCAGGGGTTGAAGTCACCTCCTGTGGGTACGCTCCTACCTGGCAAGGCCTTCCTGCAGAGCTCTGTGACACAGCCTGAAGCAGCACCACGGGGAGGCAGGCCAAGGCACTGTGAGCTCCTCCAGTTGGGGTGACAGCTCAACCCCCATGCATTCGACTCTGTGCCCAGACACTCTTCCGCCCTCTTCTTTTTCCAGTAAGACCTACAGTCATCGACGCCTGAAGTTCCTCTCATACAAGTTCCAAGTGCACGAAATGCTAAATGAGATGGAGGAGATGAAAGAGCTGAAGAACAACCCTCATCGGGATTTCTACAATTGCCGTAAGGTAAATGGCAAGGCTCACAGCCCTAGAAACCCTGCAGCTGAGCTCTCTTGGTAATTGCTGCTCTCTAAGAAATGTGGATATTGGGGTCAAGGTCTGGGACGCTTGCTAATGGGAACATGGCTGAGTTATGTTCCTTACACAATTTGGGTTCGGCTAAGGGATATGTGATGTTGTTACCCAAGCAGCACCATCTTGAAGCTGGAGAGCTGTTTCTTTGCCTTCTCAGGTGGATACACACATTCATGCTGCAGCCTGCATGAACCAGAAGCACCTTCTGCGTTTCATCAAGAAGTCGTACCTTGTGGATGCTGACCGTGTCGTTTACGATGCCAAAGGTGAAAAGCTCACTCTGAAACAACTTTTTCAGAAGCTCAATCTGCACCCATATGACTTGACAGTGGACTCCCTGGATGTCCATGCTGTAAGTGGCAGGGCACACACTGTGCATGTCGGCATTCATGGTAGGGCATGGCAGCTCCTGACTTTCCCATTCTGGCTTCTGTGGATCAGCCCCTGCCCAGCTGATATGCCTGGACTCAGCATGTGTTTACAGGATTTGCCCCTTGTCATCTCTACTCCAGGGGCGTCAGACGTTTCAGCGCTTTGACAAATTCAATGCTAAGTACAACCCTGTGGGTGCCAGTGAGCTGCGTGACCTATACCTGAAGACAGAAAACGCCATCAATGGTGAATACTTTGCTACCATCATTAAGGTATGAACACAGGGCAGGAGAAAGTCGTGGGGCTGCTGCACTCAGGATAGAGGATACTTGTGTACTGTATGTTTTCTCGGTTCCTAGGAGGTTGGCTCTGATCTGGAGGATGCCAAGTACCAGCATGCGGAGCCTCGCCTCTCAATCTATGGGCGATCAGCTGAGGAGTGGCCCAAGCTGGCCAACTGGTTCTACAGACACCGTGTCTACTCCCCCAATATGAAGTGGATGATCCAAGTACCCAGGATTTAGTATGTGCTGTGGTTCTCACAGACACTCTGCCTTATAGTGCATCACACCTTATTCTTAACCCAAAAGGAATTATGGGAACAGTGAGCCATGTTCCTCTGATAGTGATTAATCTTTGTGTCTGTCTGCAGTGATGTGTTCAGATCTCGGAATTTCCTCCCACACTTTGGGAAGATGTTGGAAAATATCTTTGTTCCTGTGTTTGAGGCAACTGTCAATCCTCAAGCCCACAAAGAGCTGAGTGTCTTTCTACGCCACGTGAGTGTCACCCCATGGTGCTGTCAGGGTCTGGTGAGCCCTGGATGTTCCTGTTTGTGCACACGAAATGGGACATCAGCTCTCACTCAGAAAATATCGTCAGTGGGATTGTGGCTATTCTGCCATTTTCTGGGAAGGGGATGTGAGTCCACAAGTGCTGAAAGGGAGGGTCAGTCACCCTGGGCTGCTGTGGGACTGTGAGAAATGTTGTCCCTTTAACTCCTGGATAAACGGTTTGATTTAAGCTTTCTTTCAACCTACTGATAGAGCCAGGGGGTTCGTGGGGTCTACAACCTTGCTCCTGACTCTGCTCCTGGGTAGGGCAGGGGTGTGGGCTACAGCCAAGGTAAGGTAAGCTGCAGTGGGGCAAAGTGAGGCAGCTGACCTGGCCGTGATGATGGGAGGAGCTTTGAGATGCAGCTTCTTTTGTTATTTTGCCAAGCAGATCACTGGCTTTGACAGCGTGGATGATGAATCCAAGCACAGCGGACACATGTTCTCCACTAAAAGTCCAAAGCCAGAGCAGTGGACTTCTGCAAAGAACCCATCCTATACCTACTATGTATACTATATGTATGCCAACATCCTGGTGCTTAACAACCTGCGCAGGTGAGGCCCCAGATCTGCTAAAGGACACACCTGATGGGCTGGCAGAAGTCAGCAGGGGCTCTTCTTGCTCTGCAACTGGTGTAGTTTGGAGCTTCTTGTCCCAGTCCGATTTCCCAGCACTCATCAATAGGAAGTGTGATCAAATGGGGTGAAAACTTTAGGACTGCAGAAATGCATCTCTTGTGTACGGAGGTGAGGAAAGAGTATAAGTTAGGTCAAGCTGGCTCCTTGGGGAGCACACTGATAGGGGCTGAGCTGGATCTGAAGTAGGGGAATCTTGCATCATGTGCCATATAACCCTACTGCTTACCTGCTCTGAGTCCTCCTTCTGTGTGTTTAGGCAGCGAGGTATGAACACGTTCCTCTTCCGTCCACACTGTGGGGAAGCTGGGGCCATCACACACCTGCTTGCAGCCTTCATGACAGCAGATAACATCTCCCATGGTCTCAACCTCAAGAAGGTGAGTGGAATAGTCTGCCACAGAGCAGTGAAGTGGCAGAGAAGGAGAACATGCTCACAGCTGACCTCTGCTGTAGCTGATAGTTCATCATGCCTCTGCCTTAGCCTTACACAGACAGCCTGGCTTCTAGCAAACAATATGTGACTCCCTGGGTTTCCCAGGCATGTTTGTGGCCGCAGCTGGGAAACATATTCATACTTCCAAAGGGTTTAACATCACAGACCTATCATTTTTATAAATATGTCTCATTGGAGTTGAAGTCTGGATGACTTCAGACCTCAACTCGCTTGGTCTCTCATGCTCCAGGTGGGCCCTGGAGAACTCCTACCTTGCCTACACAACTTTGACCTTTATGGGTGCTGACCTTTATGAGAGCAGCAGTGGATTTTCTAACTGTGGGACTGGGTTGATCTGAGTTGTGAGCCTGAAGAGGTGGAGGTCACAGCAGCTTTATCCCTACATCTGGCAATTCTTCTCTCCATTGCAGAGCCCAGTGCTGCAGTATCTGTACTTCCTTGCCCAAATTCCCATCGCTATGTCCCCCCTCAGCAACAACAGCCTCTTCCTGGAGTACGCAAAGAATCCGTTGCTTGACTTCCACCAGAAGGGCCTTATGGTGTCCCTTTCTACAGATGACCCCATGCAGTTTCATTACACCAAGGTGCTGTGTGGGCCTCGTTTGTCACAGCAGCAGTGGCAGAGGGTGGGGTGTGCTGGGGGCAGCACGTTTACAGGGCAGCTGTGTGGGCTATGCAGGCAGAAGCTGCCCCGCTTCTAAAGCAACCTTTGGCTACAGGAGCCCCTGATGGAGGAGTATGCCATCGCTGCCCAGGTCTTCAAACTTAGCACCTGTGACATATGCGAGATTGCCAGGAACAGCGTGCTGCAGTGTGGCCTGTCCCACGAGGTGGGTGCCCAGGGAGGGCCGGGTAGCAGAGCGGGCCAGCAGAGCCATGGGCACCTCTCTGCACTGCAGCTCCTGCATCTGTGCCGGTGCTGCCGGCAGGGGCCTGTGAGAACCCCTACCCCTGTGCTTGTACGTGGCAGGAGAAAGCCAAGTTCCTGGGTGAGAACTACCAGGAGGAGGGGCCCCATGGAAACGACGTCCGGAAGACCAACGTGGCTCAGATCCGCATGGCCTATCGCTACGAGACGTGGTGTTACGAGCTCAACCTCATCGCGGAGGGCCTGAAAGCCGAGTAGTGCGCAGTACGGGCGGACTCCTGGCGCGGCTAAGCCCGCCGCCGTGCTCGGCTTCTGCGGACAGCAGCGGGACTCAACCGTGCCCCGGGGTGCGGGCTCGGGATGCTGAGCCGCGGCCGTGGGCAGTAAAACCGCATCTCTGAGCTACTCGGTGCGCCTGCGGAGCGGGGAGGGGCGGGGAAGGGAGGGAGGGGAGGACCGGCCGTGCGGCGCGGAGGGCGGGAGCTGAGCGTGCGCCGGGAGCGCCCCGCGAGCGGGGCCGGGCGGGGGTGAGCGCGGGTAGCGGCGGAGGAGCGCCGCGGGGAGGTGGGGGCCGCTGGGGGGGCGGGGCGGCGGACGGGACTCCTGTGCGGAACGGGGGTGGGGGTCGGGCTTCGTGCGAGGCCGCGGGCTGCCTGCCTCGGATCGACGCGGGAGGCGCTGCCACGGGAGAGCACCGGCTCTGCGAACGTCGTGCTGCTGCTCTGCGCCGCGGTGCGCGGTGCTGCCGGACACGGCGCGCCCCGAGCCGCGACCTTCGGGTCCCGGAGGGTCCGCGCATCCCCGCGCAGTGGAGGAGAGCGCTGGCTGTGGGGGGTGGGGACGAGCGAATGAACCCCGGGAGGAGGCGATGTCCGCCGCAGCACCGCGCTGCCGCAGGAGTCACCGGCCGCGTTTTACCGCTGCCCCTCGCAAAGTCTCCGTAACTCTTCGCTAGCGGACCGGTTCTTCAGGAGCGTTAGGTATTCGTGCTCCTTCGTTGCGTTGAGGACTGCTGACAGCCGCGGCCAGGCGGCCCCGCAGGACCCCCGCTTACGGCCGTGCGCGCTCGCTGCCGCCCATTCCGGCGGCCGAAGGGCAGGCGCGGACATCGCTGTGTGGAGGAGAGGAGCTGCCGAGCGATCCCGTGTGCTGTCCTTGCGGGGATAGAGGGGGTGCGGGAGTCGTGGGGGTGAGGGAAAGGCGTCAGACAGCGATTGCTGCAGCGGCGACAGCGGTTTGTCCGGGATTCTGGTGTTTCTCCCCATCTCGCTTTAGTCCTGTCCCTTCAGGCCTGCGGGGAATTGCCCGCTGTCTGAGCATGCAGACAATAAAAACTGCTGGGGGAGGGTGTGATGGGCAAGGAAAGAGACCCTGAAAGACACCTGGGTAAGCTGTCCCACAAAATGTCTGTGGCTGCAGATTCTGGTGCTCAGGGAAAAGGCAAGTGCAGAGTGTGTCTGAGGAGCTCAGGAAGTGGAATTTCATCCCTTAAGAAAGAGTCAAATCTTCCTCATCCCTACAAAAGTTGCAGGACCCACAAAGTCAGACTTAACCTTTTTGCCATATACTTTTGCCATCAGTTCTATAGCCAGGTATGGGGTCAGGTGGGACTCCGTTCCACATCATGAAGCAGAAGCTTTGAATGAGTTAATCATCAGAGTTGCTTTGGATGGAAATGGAAATGACTAAGCACACCACATTCCTGAAGCATTACTTGTTTTGATATAAAATCTGCTTGTCTGGTTCTGCCCATGTCTTTCAGCCATCTGAATGACACATTTTTGTTCAGAAAAAGTTCAGGTCTGTTGTGGAGCTGAACAGAATGAGAGTAGCTGAAAGCTCTGGGAGTCCTTCCTGCTGCACTGGCTGTCCCCTCATCCTTTTAGGACAGCTTCCCTAGCCTTCCCAAGACCAGAAGCTGCCTTGTATTGGGCTACCAACAGAGGAGGCTTAATGGCAAGGAGTTCTGTCATTTCTTAGGTGTCTTAGAACCACGTGGCTCGTAAAAGGAGCAAAAGATTGCTTCAGAACTGCATGGGCTTGCCAGATTGTTGATTTGCTTGTTCTCATGCCTGTTGTACAGCAGGATAAGGTAAGGTCGTGTGCTGGTGTCTTTGTTTAGCTATTTAGCTGCCAGCATGATTTGTTGAGGGGCGTTGTAGGGACCCACAGTGGGTGGGCTTGATCTCAGCTTTATTCTTAAACAGTACCGGCAACAGTTCTTTCCTTCAGTTTTTTTTTTTTCAAGAAACTGAGCTGCCTTGAAACTGTATAGAAAGCGCTTATTATGCTCTCTGCTTTCAGAATTGGGAGAGGACTAAAGGCTACCTGTTGTGTGTTGTGAATGTGCCTCGTTTGTCTGCTTTGGGTAAACTTGTTTTGTCCCTCTTAGTTCCATGCTGTCTCTCTTATGGGGAGAGATGCGTGCTGTTTTTGCCATACTTGCTTGTGGCTGTTGCTTCCAGTGAATTAATTCAGTATTTTTGGCTATGCTATGCAGCTGTAAGTACTAATGCTATAGGGATGATAGATTTGGCTTTTGTGGAAGTACTGGAAAGCGTATTGGTGCTGCTGAAGGCGTTTGGAAGGAGGCATGGAGACAGAAGCAGTCACTGAAAGTCAGGTTAATCTGTGAAAAGAATGTGGGGTGGTCCCTGATGTACAAGTGCTGGCTGCCTGGCTCAGGTGAGCTCTGACTGGTGTGTGTCTCTCTGAGCTACGCACTGGCCTGTCTCAGGCTGTGTCTGGTGCTATCAGGCATGGGTCAGACCACTCCAGACTCCTCTTTCCTCACTAAATATCAGCTTTTACTGCTGGCCCTGGTTCATGTAATGAGTTTAGATTGAATGCCTGTATGCTGATAGCAGCTGGCTGCCTGGCAAGCCTGTGCAGGTGAAGAGCTACATTCTTCTCCTTGGAGGATGGGTTATTTTGGAAGGCAGTTCAACACCATGGCTGGTGGAGCAGCACTTAGCAGGAGAGAGTGAGGTGCTTTGAACTTGTGTTCTGTTGCCTTCATTTAAGATGAACAAGGAATCACGTGTTTCTACCTGTATGTGATAATGCAAAGGTCAGTGACATACCTTAGGTAGACCTTTGCTGCTGCACTCAGAACAACGTGGCTCTGTTCCCAAATCTTCTAGTCTGGCTTTTCCCATTGGATACCGTGCATGCTGGCTAGCCTGTGCTTTTAGGTCCTTGGGAGCAGCCCAGAGCACTGTTTTTCTCGTAGTTCCAATGGTGCAGGGAAGAGGAAAGTTGCTGTCTGCTAATCAGGGCTGTGCAGACAGGGATTGAGGAAGGATGGATCTGCTCTGGCTCAGGATGTTTTAGAAACAATGCCCTATTTATAGGAGAAGGCAAAGGCCTGGGGCTGCCTGTGAGCAGCAGAGGAGCAGCCTGGCCTAGGGTCTCACCGTGGGGTGTGGTAGCACAGCAGTACCCCAGCCAAAGGAATCAGGAATGATGGGACTGTAGGAGTGGTTTCCGTTTTATTAACAGTTGTGTGTAATTCCTAGGCTTGTTCTGTTCTTTTCCTGCTCCCGTGTGATGGGATCGACAGCCCCCGTTAGTTTGCTGGTCCCCTGCCTGCTCCTTGCTGCTGGTGAGGAGGGAGTGTGTGCTGTGCTTTGCTGTGCTGTGCTGCAGTTGGCAGTGCTGTGTGCACAGGAGCAGCTTGCCTGCACTGCTTTGGAGACAGGGTATGGTGATGGTCAGGAGGGGTGCCAGTATGAGCTCATTGAGGGTATGGCAGAGTGCTGATAGGGGGCAGAGGGCTGATGGTGCAGCATATATCTTCAGCTCAGTTGCTTACTCGTGTAGTCTAAATTTAGCCCATTCATTAATCATAGAACCACAGAATGGTTGAGTTGGAAGGGATCCCAGAGCCCCCCAAGCCCCACTCCATCGCGGGCCAGTTCCCTTCCACCAGCTCGTGCTGCTCAGGGCCTCATCCTGCCTGACCTTGAGCTCCTCCAGGTACGGGGCACCTCCAGCTTCTCCGGCCAGCCTGTGGCAGGGTCTCACCGCCCTCTGAGTTAAGAATTTCCTCCTCACATCTAACCTCAATCTCCCCTCTTCTAGTTTAAAACTCTCTCAGTGATAATTGGGAGGATTATTCGCAACTGTCTGGGACAATATGATAAAAAATACTTGTCTTCAGGAACCTATGTTGTTCTCTCTGAAGACAGGCAGCAGTGACCTTTTTGCCACAGCAAGCAACACTGCTTTGGTACAAAGTGTGGAAGGCCAGCTGGAGCTATGTGACAGATTTGTTGGTGCTGGATCTCTGCAGCAAACCCACTTCTCCCTGGTGGTAAGGTGGCAGTTTCACTTGCCTTTCTTGCTGCAGGACCCTGCTGGAGAAATCACATCATTTCTTTGGTGTTCCTTCTCTGCTGATCTAAATACAGCTCTCTTTTTCCCAATTCACCAGTTTTCTCTGCTTTTTGACTCCTGTTGTTGTCTTCCTAAAAATTCCCCTGACTGCCAGCCACTGCCCTCCAGTTTCTCTGCTGGCAAAGTTAGATCAGGTATTGACACGCAGAACATCAAACAAGTTTTCACTTGTGCTGTTGAGCTCTTCTCCAGTCAACACAGCCATGCAAATCTGCCTGTGTGAAGCAGCAGCTGTCCTGCTACTGCTGATGCTGGAGAGGTAGATGTGGTTGTCTGTCAATAGAGCTGGCATGGTGTCTTGTATCTTGCAGTGTTAGAGAGCTCCAGCGGAGATGTGCTGCTGCAGCAGCACTGTGGGCTGCCTGAGGTGCTTTGAGCAGTGCTGAGCATCAGAGAAACAGAACGCTCCTGTTTGGCCTGCATCAGTACAAGTATGCTGCAGAGGAGCTGGCTGGGAGTTCTGCTGAGACAGGACATGGTGTTGTGTTTCAGTGCCACCAAGTAATTTCCTTGAGTTTGGGCCTTGGGGATCCCTGGCAGCGTTTTATTCCCGTTGCAATGTTTTATTTGTTTTTTTAACCCAGTGAGACCTCTAGTTCCTTTTGTTAGCCCTCCCAGATATATTCAGCAGCAGCAGGCTTTGTGAAGAGTGCACTAAGAAAGGCAGTCTTGAGTGTGTGGTTTGGGGAGGAATGTTCTTCAGCAGTTGCCAAAGTACAGCTGGAAACTCCTGGTGTTGTGTATGGTTGGAATGCAGCTGATGGTTCTCTTTTTTTCTGTCCTCAGGTTGCACTAGGAGGCAGTTCTTGCAGGACTCAGGGGCTCTTGGATGCCCCTGGATGCTTTGGAGTCTCCTGCCAGCTTGATGCATGCAAGACACAGGTGAAACTGGGCAAAACTGGAGATGGGGTGTTTGTAAGCACGTTGGCACTTGCCATGCACCCAACAGAGACAGGTGACAGTAGCTTCTCCCGCTCTGCTGTGCAGACCCTCTCTCGGAGCCACTGCCGCAACATCAAACAGAAGATCTCCCAGTGGGAAGGGAGAACACAAGGGTGCTCCAGCAAGGAGAAACAGCAGTTGAATGATTTTGGAGTAAAATATGATCCAGGCTGCAATGTTCTGTCCAAAGTGAAGCCTGAAGATACACAGAAGGGCAGAAAGGCTGGGTCTAAAGATCCAAAGAACTTGGGTTTGGACTTCAGGGAAAATGCAAGGAGTTGCTTGCAAACTGCTGACTGTGGTGACCTCGAGTCCTGTGCGTGCAGCCATGCTCCCCAGGCCAAGGAGAATGGGAAATGGCAAGCAGGTTTCCCAGACCCAGGGGAGGCATTGCCCCCAGGCAACTTCTACACTTTGCAAGGGCTTTGGAGGAAAGTAGACCCTAGCACAGCCCTGCCAGTTCCTGTGGACCTTCAGAAGAAGTGGGGGAATTGTGGCTTCACAGAAAGAGAACGGAAAGCCGAAGGAGTGGAATTGTTCTGCGGGGCAGAGAGGAATGTGAAAAACTCTTACTTGGAGGCTGTGGAGCAAGAGAAGAAGTTGGCTGCAGTCCCGCCACCCAAGCCCCGTAGGACTTTCCGCTATCTTGCAGAAAACTGTGCCAGCAGCTGCAGCGATGCCAGTGCTACCAAGGAAGCTCCCCTGGAAAAGAGACGTGGAGGAGATCTGGTTTCGTTTTCTAACAATCTGGAGAAGAGAACAGTCAGCAGAAGGATCCGAGGAAGAATCCAGAGGTATGTTGGTTCATCTGTCATCTATGAAACTCATTCCATTAAATCAGATTCTGCGTGGGTCTAAACAGCTTGCTTGCCATGATGTCCTTGTGGAGATGATGGTCAGTATTGTTGATGAGGAGACAATATTTCTGGATGAAAGTACCACCTTTCTAACATTCTGTACACATTGCTTTTGCTGCTGATAATCTTTTAAATGCTCAAAGCCCCAAACATTTATCAATCCCACACTTTGAAACATGAGTGACAATTTGCTGACCCCAGGGAGAGCTTGTTCTCAGTTGCAACTTGTGGATTACAGAGTAGCCTTCTCTTGTGGCAGTACTGCTGCTAAATGTTCAAATTTTCCTCTGAGTGAAAAATTGTTCTGCTGGAGAATTGTTATTTATTGTCTTGGAGTTGGAGGCTGTCAGGTGCCCCTCTAGCAGCTGTTTAGGGCAGCTGTGCTAGAGATGAGTGTAAACACAATGAATGGAGATGTGACTTGGACTCCTAAATCCTTTTTTCACAGTGGCAAGGTGTGCAGCAAGCCCCATAAGTTTTGTGATGATGGATTAAATCGCAGTCAGCTCCTTTGTGACCTCTATGTCATTATTTTGGGTTGGAGGCCAAATATATGAAAACGCCAACTCCCAAAGGTTCCTTTAGCAAGAACAGTAGAGGAGAGGTCCTGTAGAAAACTGCTTAATTCATTAAGTCCGTGTGAGCTGGATAGTACAACTCAATGGCCTTTGTACATGATGTTGTCTTTAGATGATGTTATGCTGGTTTTCCTCTAGGAAATCCTTTGAGTTTGAGGACATTCAGGGCTTCCGCAACTGGGTGTCTGCCACCAGGTCCCGTAAACTTCAAGAAGAAGCAGATGGCACTGCAGGAGCCAGGCTCATCTACACACAGTCAGAAGACAACATCTATGAGGACATTATCTGTATGTGCCTGTTCTTGGGGGTACACTCACGTTGTTTAGGGGTAGCTAAACTGCTTGGGAGGGAGGAATGAAGATGAGAATGCATTGAGGACCTGACCAGTTCTGTGATTTTTATGGTCTTCCCCATCTGAGTTCTTCGTTGGTATTAATAATTATCTGTTTGTGAATAACCATGCAGGATAGCTGTCTGCATCTGGTTTCAGATGTCATGGGAGGCTGCTAGAATTCACCTGTGCTAAACTGATTTCTTTATTAGCTCTTCACATCCCCTGCTTGAGTACTGCAGTGATATTGTGCGGGTACTGACCAAACTAACTGCTTTGCAGTTGAGCTACTTTCTCCATAGTGGTAGAAATGTTTTACTTTTCTGATCCATGTTGCTTGCCACTTTTATGGTAATGGATTAGGTGGACCTCTAAGTGGTAGAAGCCTAATCCGTCCTTAAACTGGTGTCTCTTCAGACTCTGTTCAACCTTGGCAGACAACTGCACAGACTTTCCTTGCTTATTTGCCTTGCAAGCATTCAGAAGTTTAGCTTCTTCTGTAAATCCCCCATTCAATGCTTCTTCCAGGTCCTGAAAAAGAGAACCCCTATGAAGATATCAGAGTGCTGCCTTTACCCCTATGGAAGGTCCCATCTGTTTGGAAATTACCACCTTCCCAAAGCACCAATAGAGCTCCAAAGGTAGGGTGAGGGGATTCAACCAGCGTGTGTTTACAAAGAGTCATCTTTACAAGGGCCGTTTTGTGTTCCTCCTCTACCCTAGTTTGTCAGTGCTATGTCACTGTTTTTCCTTTTATTTTCCTTTTATTTTTATTGCTCGTTATGAATATAAGTGGTAATAAACAGCCGTGGCAATGACTGTTCATAAAACTATTAAGGAAGAATAGAATCAAGAGTGCTTAGATGTGATACTTGAATGTATCACTTGAATCACAGGATGGGGGTGGGAGAGAAAGCTTTGGAGTGCAGGAAGTTGCAGGAAATCTATCAATCATAATCTGACTTTTTTACCTCTGAACTTGGACCAAAGCTTTATCCCATGCTTAGCCATCCCTTCTGATTCTATTTTCTAGCTTCCTCCAAAACCTTCCTTCCTCAGTCGCAAGACTTTTGAGTTAAAGCCTTCCCTGACAAGTTTGCAAGGGAAAATTGTGAAGGACACGACCTTGCCTGTCACATTGACCGACTGGAAGCTGTTCCGAGCAGTAGAGGCTACTAGCAGGAGAAAGAACTTGCCCTGGGTGAGATTTAAGCATGAAACATTTCTTCTTGCATGGTATTTCAAATCCTTGCTTCTTTGTCCAGCACCTCTAAGTGCTTCATATGTCTGGCAGGTAGATGTTGCTTAGCACTGCTGTGTGTGTGGACAAATACTTCTCTTGAACCATTTTCCTCCAAGGAGTAGGGCAAGTATTGGGAAATGGAAGAACAGAGAGCCAGTTCTGGGTGGGCCAAGTAGTAATTTTGTTTATGAATAATCTGCAAATGGGGCAATAGGTCAAATGGATACCAGCTCTATCTGTGGATACCAGCTGTTCCTAGTGTTCCTAGTCAGCAAAGCCTCTTTCCACAAAGTACGTTGATGTTTTATACTGAATGCAATGCAGGAAGGCAAGGAAGCTCTTTGTAAGCTGAAGGGTCAGCCCTGTACTATTCTGTTTGTGCATGCGTTTCTCCTGGGGGCTTCTTAGGCTGAGCCCTGTGTTCTCACTGCAGGGACTGAGCTGTTAATGGCTGACAGCATGGGGCTGTGAGAAGGCTGGGCACTTGCTTACTTGACCTTCTGGCTTGTGGTTCTTGACTTTGGGAACACGCTTTTGCAGCTGTTGCCATATTCCAAAGGTGAGCTGCACCTCACTGGGATAAGCCCATTTCCCATAGCCTTCCTACAGTTCTCCCCTTTGCTGCTTCTGGTTGTTCCTTTCTGCCTGTGTGCAAAATACTGATACACTTCTGATTAGTGAGAGAGGCCTGTAATTCAGTTTTGCACTACAGGATTCATTCTGATTCTCACTTGACGTGCTTGGAAACTTTCTAAATGCTGGCATTAGTTAACACTTTGAAGCATGTGCTATGGAAGGACAGCTGCAGCTACCACTGTGTGCTGTATGTGTGGCACATGGTGTGCAGGACTCCGATTCCAGTTGTAGTGTTGACAACAACTTGCTTTTGCCATGATAAAATCATTAACTGCTGCAGATCATTATTTCTTCAGAACATGTGCTCAATTTGAACAATTTGCAGAGGCCTGTGAAGTATAATTGGACATCTGCAAAATGCTTTTCACACGTTAAGTGTTTTGGAATATCAAGGAACATTTGAATGTGCTCTGTTTTTGTGTTTTTTTTTAAACAAAGTACAGGCTTGGAAAATTGTTGATACTGGAAAGATTGTAAAAATGCTGTGGAGGATATCTTTCTTTTGGAGGAGGAAAGTGTAATGTTTCCTAAAGCAAACCTACTCCAAAAATCTGGTAATAATTTTCATGCAGGAAGCACGCTGCTCCTAGGGAACTGAGCCAAGATTACTCAAGAGATTGAGAAAAGGGTTTTAGTCTAAGAAGAAAAAACGTTATTGCTCAAGAAGCACATAAGAAGCCTTAAACACACCCAGTATCTTCCACTGGTGACTCAACTGTGCAAAAATGAGAACAGAAATTGAAAACTTCTCAATAATGCTGGATGGTAGAGGGAAAAGAAGGCAGATTTTGCAAGGGAAGCACCACCTCCTGAGGTCTGTTTTCTTCCTTTCAGCCTCATTTTTAGGACGTATTAGTCTAAAGCAGAACACCAGGAGACAACATGTGTGAGGACATTTGAAAAGGAGAAGAGCTAATTATAGTTTGCTGAACTGGGGATAAAGGCTTGAGCTGAAAAACAGGTTCTCTCTCTGAGTATCTTCCTTTTTATGCAGTTTTTGTGGTGACAAATGGCTGGGCACACCCTGCTACATCCAGTAGGAGCATTTAATGAATTCTTAACTGGAGACAAGAATGAACTTGATCTGCTGTTTGCATTTAAAGTAAATCCTTCACAGTGAAGTGATAGCAGTCTCTGACGTGCAGAATCAGGGAGCTGCCTGCAGCACTGTATACCTGCAAATGAGGGTAACAGTGCAGAGAGGCCTATGACAGGAGTAACAGAAAGCTTTATGAGTTTGGTTTTAAGGCCTCTGTGACCAGTGAAGTGAAGGTTAGCAGTGCTGACATGGAGTGCCAAACGCTGACACTTCTTCTAGGTCTGTAGTCTGCTTTGAACTGTGCTGTTTTCCAAAGTTTTTCTTCCAGCAGACTGAGTCTGTGTTTGCCTGCAGCATAGACCACTTCAGTTCCATTGTCTTTTATTACCTGTGCAAAATGAAAGTACTTAATCTGTTAATTTTGGCAATTTGCCCTGGGACAAGGACTTAGTGCAGCCTTGCTCTGTGCTCAACCTGTGTTTTGGAGAACTTACTCTAGCTATTTGACAGTTAACAACAACAGAAACCACCAAAACTAAGCATAAAAAGTGAACTACACTGGGGGGAGTTCTACTTCTCACTGGGCTTAGAGAGAATCTGGGTACTTGAGAGCTTGTGGAGTTCAGAGGCTTTCGAGCTGGAGGGTTTATAAGATATTCTTGCAAGGGCCTTTGCAATAGAAGACTGAGATCTGATGCCAGCCAGTTTGCCACTTCTGCTGTCTATCTTACAAGCAAAATATAACTTCCAGAATGTATACATGGTTTAGTGTCAACTTCAGGCTGTGCTAATGGTAATTGTGCAGCAGAAACTATGCCCATTCGTTACTCAGTTAACTGCTAGAAGTATTCTAGCAAGCAGTCTCTGAGCCAGGTCCCTGGCAGGGATTCAGCAACTTTTCCCAAGTATTGTAGTCCCAGATGACAGATGTTGGGCTATAGTCCGTTGGTCCGTTCTCTGGACCCCCTTACTAATCTCTGGTTCTGCTTTGGATTTCAGATGGTACTAAAAATACAGGAGATCTTTGTTTCTAAGCGTGGGAAGAAAAGGGTGAAGTTGCTCAGTCCTGCTGGGAAGGAAATGCCTCCAACAAAAGGTACAGAGCTCTCCAGCACTGTTCTCTTTGATACAGAATTGTTGAGTGGCACAATTTCTGTATGTGCTGGGGTACTCTTAGACTTCCTGCAGCTCATTCTGGGCTGACTTAACAGTGCTGAGCCCCATGTCTTGCAACTGGAATTGTTGGACTTTCAGCACCAGTAGGACTGGGAACACTTGACTTGCACAGATTTGACACTGGTACAGGTGGAAGATTCCCCTGTAGTCTGAACCTGAAGAGCTGGAGTAATGATTCCAAGTGCTTTTTCAAAGAAACAGAACAAAACCACTTGGCACTAGAACTCTCTGTGACTGCTCTACTTTTCTGTGCCTCTACAATGATATTCTTGTGTACTTAAAAACTACAAGCAGTGGTACAATCTCTATTTATAGTATATTCTGTCCAGCAATTCATAGTATATTCTGTTAACTTTTACAGCAGCTTCAAATAACCACTTGGTTGCTCTTTGCCTCTGATCTGCATCCTGGAAACAGGGATCTTAATCAGCTCTACTTCCTGGAATTCACTGTTGTAGCACATTTGCCAGTAGTGGTTGTTCTTTGCTGGTGCCTTGAGCAGTGTAGATGAGCAGACCTGAGTGATGTTGATCTGATGAGTCTAAAGTTCTCTGTCTTTCCCAGGTTAGGGTGTTGCCCATCTTCCTTCTGCATGGCTAATAAGTGAAAACTGTGTGTGTTTCAGGTGAAACCAGTGGAAATGAAAGTGATACGGAAAACCAGCCAAAAAGTGAGTGAATCATAAGGGCTGGTCCTATCCCCACAGCACAACACAAAAGATTCTGGTGGGATGGCCATGCTGACAAGTTGTGGCTTCTGCCGAGACAGAGAAAGGGAGCACCTGAGGGTTAGTGTGGCCAAGGCTGGGAGCTGTTGCAGTGACAAATCAACTTCTGTTTCACCCACTTCTCTTGAATCCTTCAGATTTAAAGCCAACAATCTGGTAGCAACTAGCAGTGTTGCTCTGGGATGTATGGAAGACATGGCAGGAGAATGCTAGTTATCAAGCAAAGAGATTTGCAGAGTTGCTGCAGGGCAATTGCTCCTTTATCTGGAACTGCTCTGAACTTGACAAATGGACCCAGGAGTCCAAAGCCCATAGCATGCAGCAGTTCTGTGGCATTAGTCAGATGCACCGACCCCTTTTTCCCTTAATGAAGGTGATGACAGTTCTTGTTCTGTAACTAATAGGTTTCTGGCAGTAAAAGTCACAGGCTGGTTTTGGATTTGTCCCTTTCTTCAGGTCGACATAGGGGCCTGCTACTGGTGCAGTCAGCCTCCAAGAGGAACCCACACTACCAAACATTGGAGAGAGATTTAATAGAGCTCCAGGAGCAGCAGCTGTTTGAGCTGTTTGTGGTAGTGTCACTACAGAAAAGGGCATCTGAGATAAAATACACACCACAAATCATACAGCAGTTTCCCAGCAAGGTAAGACTGGCATGGAAACATTTGCATAAAACACAGCAGCTGTTTATTTCTAAGAATTCTTTCTGTGCTGTCAGAAGTAATCCACTGATTATTATAAGTATTATCCTAAGCTCGTTAAGGGAGGTTATTGTCCAGCAGCATAAGGATTTGTGTGCAAATACCTTCGTTGTGTTTGACATGTACATGTTTTGGATTCACAAAATTAATAAGGGACTATAGCCAGAAAGAGAGCAAGGTCTTAATTAATGGGTAGAATTGAATGTATGTGCTGACTGAAAATACAGTCCTTAAAATATCAGCTGTACGGAATGAACTTTGCTCTTCTCAGGGATGTTTCATACTGAAGTGAAATCTCTATCATTTGAAAACTTCCCTTTTGCCTCTTCTGGGCACTTCTAAGAATTGAGAATTTTCCTGTCTTCAGATCTCCTAGGAGTAGAAGTGAGGCAAGCTGCCTAATGGCACAACAGTTGTTTGGGTGCTTCATTCTCCTGTGAATTTGGCCATGGCTCTGAATCTTACTCAGTTCCTACCGCAGCCAGCTGGGTAATTTTAAAAAGGTCCAGTCAGCAGCTAAGTTGCAAGAGGGAACTGGGAATCTGTTTTAGTGAGAATGCTTTCTCCCATACTTGTAGATTAACTATCGGGTGGTTCAGCACTTCGAATAATCAAGAAGATACTGTCCCCTTTTCTTTTAAATGCTGAAGCTGTGCACCACACTTCAGTGACTTTAAATATATGTTACCTCTCCAGCCTGAACATCGCTTCAGACAGTCAAAGGATACTGAAGAGAGGCTAAAGGTCATTCCCAAATTCTGCTTTCCAGATCCCAAAGACTGGTTTCCTGCATCAGACCTTAAAAGGTAAAGACTTGCTATGTACAGATGGGTCTGAGGTGGGTCTGAAGCCTTAGATATGTAGAAGTTTCCTGGACCTGAGGAACTGCAGCCAAAGCAAGGAAAAATGGGAAAGAATCACAGAATCACAGAATCACCCGGGTTGGAAGGGACCTCAAGGATCATGTAGTTCCAACCCCCCTGCCTAGCAGGGCCACCAAACATACACATTCAGATCAGGTTGCCCAGGACCCCGTCCAACCTGGCCTTAAACACGTCCAAGGACGGGGCATCCACAACCTCCCTGGGCAGCCCGTTCCAGGGCCTAACCACTCTCCTAGTAAAGAACTTCCCCCTAACATCCAACCTAAATCTTCCCTCCTTCAACTTGGATCCATTGAAATGGAAAGGCTGAATCTCTAAGCCCTGTGAAGGGGGAAGGTGAGATATGGAGGTGGGCTCAGAGGTACTGCATCTGTCTGATCATCTTTATTATGAGTTTTTTGTTTGGCTACTCATTACAGAGGGGGTATTTGGCATGATCAGAAGGATACCTTATAGTCTGTATGGAGCACGTTTTACTTAGTCAATCTTGTCTGAACTGTATGGTGAATTTAACTCCTGACTCTTCTTTGGTTTCCCAGTGAAACATTTTCTTTTGTGTTGACGGGTGAGGATGGCAGCCGCTGGTTTGGATACTGCAAGAAGCTCCTGGTAAGCATCTGTGTATTGGGTGGAGTGTAAAGAAAGCACTGTTAAATGCACAATCAAATGCAGAATATGAATCAGCAGTAATTTCCCATGTGGGTTAGGCAGCTCCTGGGCTGCTGCTGCTGCTGCTGCTGAGGTTACCAGTCATTTAATTGCATAAGGGAAGGAGCGTAACAATGCCCGGCAATACAGTAAAGTGAATTCTGGGTGTGAAAGCTCCTGGAGCCGGTTATTCCTCAGGAATCCCACAAGGCAGAAGTGTCGAGGGTACTGCAGCAGAAGGAATATTGTGCATCAACTACACTGTGTGTGTTAGTTTGTTTTTCACATCCATGCTCTCAGCGTAACTGGTCCTGTTGCTTTTCAGCCAGAAGGGAAAGGGAAGCGCCTTCCTGAGGTGTACTGCATCGTCAGCCGCCTGGGCTGCTTCAACCTCTTCTCCAAGGTGAGATGAGAAACTGTATTCATCTGTGATATGGGTCTGACAGCCAGCAAGCACCAAGAAGTAGCTGGATGCTTTTCTCCAGTCTAGAATTTTCTTAGCAGTTGTAGTCCATCAGTGTAGTGCTTCCTTGCCACTTTTGTACTTGACGGGCAAATAATTATACTAGGGCTGGGACTTGTCAGCTGCTATACAGAAAATTCAGCAAATTATTGTCAGGAAGTGGCTCCTAATACTTGTTAATATTAATAGTGTCCCTTTGTCCTCTTCTTTCATGACTTGGAAATGAAAAATCATTTATTTTGTGGGCAAGAAGGTAATGAGGGAAAGATCTCAGCTTGTTTCTCCTAGCACAGTAAGGAGAATAGATAAGGAACTAAACACTAGAGAAAGCTCTTGCAGATACAGAGCAGTTCCTGCAGAAGAGTACAGGGGCGAATTTGTGATGATTTCTAATAATTGGATCAGTGAGTTACTAGAACAGTGTTTCAGAAAGATGATTTGGATGAGATGTTGCCCTTCTTCCCCATCTAACTAGAGTATCTGATTACAACACATAAGAGATTTCCTTCTAGTAGAAGCAGTATGGAATTGAGAATGGAGAGTTTACTTACAGTTACATATTACCATTTGCTTGTTCGGACATTTGAGAGGTTACACAAGAACCCCAGGGCAAGGGGGAAGGAGGGCTGTGAGTCTGTGTTGGACCCCTCACGTGTAGCTATGGAATGGGACATAACATAGGCTTGTATTTCTTTGGGCTAACCAGCATGCAGTGAATCAAAGTCTGATTTGTTTGCAGATTTTAGATGAAGTGGAGAAAAGGCGAGAGATGTCCCCAGCCCTCGTCCACCCATTTATGCGTAGTGTAATGGAGGCGCCTTTCCCTGCTCCCGGACGCACTATTACTGTGAAGAGCTTCCTGCCAGGAGCAGGAAATGAGGTAACTGAATTCAGGACTGGTTTTCCTGTGTTGACTGGTGTCTGTGGGGCAAAGTGGCGTTTTGCAAACTGCACTGTAGAGTGATGCTGTCTGTAAATCATTGATCTGATGGTCATTTCCAAACTGACTGGAGGTTGTCGGAGAAACCAGCTTCCCGTTGAACTGCACAATAGAAGTGATTCATTGCTTTTTTTAAAGGAAGAGCAGGTTGAGAGTCCTTTGAGATGCTCTGAACTGTCCGTCCAGGTGATGTGGGTTCAACCTGTGAGGATCCAGCACTTCTGCTTTCCAGTCAGGTCCTCCCTCATCCAGCCTAATGCTGTGATCTGGCTGTTCCATCCAGCACTCTGCATCTCTGCTGTTCCCAGGTTATGAAACTCTGCCGTCCGTCGGATTCTCGACTTGAACACGTTGATTTCGAATGCCTGTTCAGGTGCCTAAGTGTCTCTCACATGATACGGGTCTTTGCCTCTCTCCTGCTGGAAAGGAGAGTGATCTTTGTTGCTGACAATTTAAGGTAAAGAATGAGTCTGAGTGACCAGTTCTTTCTGAGGCATGTTGCTTTTTCTCTTGTATTTGGGCCTGTTTCATGTGTGAGCATGTCTAACTTTCTGTAAATAATTAGATTTAAAAGCTTTTGGCAGATTCTCCACAAATCTTTTGCATGCTTAACAATTGGAGTGCGCTGCTTACTCAAGAGGAGACAAGGGAATGTTTCCTTTACCTCTTTACTCTGGGCTGATGCTATTCCTAGCTCCCCATAACTGACTTCATAAATGGTTGCATGGGGCTTCTTCTGATGCACAAGCAGCATACATAAATTACATTTCCTCAGAGCATTTCTAACCTATGTCTGTAGCAGAACACTGAAAGAGACACTGACAATCCCTTCTGTGCTTCCCTTACTTTTTAGCACCCTGTCTAAATGTGGCCATGCTGCAGTTGCAATACTTTATCCCTTCACTTGGCAACACACGTACATACCAGTGCTACCAACTTCTATGATTGATATTGTGTGCTCTCCGACTCCATTCTTAATTGGCATTCTCTCCTGCTCATTACCACAGCTCCAAGACCTGCCTGTAGAAGAGGTGAGAACTGGGCAAAACACTGGAGGGACAATTGCAGTGGAATTAGGCTGACTTCTTTGAAAGAATCTCTGTGGATTCTGTCTTAGTGTAACATCTTAAACCTTTCTGAGACAGTTTTTAACTTGCAAGATACATGCCAGCACATTCCTTTGCTATCAAAGATTAATAATACTGACTGTTCTTATAGACAGGCTGAAGTCATGCAGAACTTGTGTGTGACATCCCCTAAAACTGGGGACAAAAGAAAAGTTATATATTTTAAGAAGTTATTGTTTTTTTCCTGCTGCATGGCAACGTACATAGTTACAAGAGCTAATAATTTTTTGTCTGTCTTTCCCTAGGTTCTGATTGTTGATCTTTGTGCTGACAAGTTTTTGCAAGAGGTGAGTGAAAGAGTGAGATTACAGCACTGGTTACTCTTGGTGGTGTTACATGCCAAGAATAGGATCCACAAATGTGAGCAAGAAATCAGTTAAGACTTGTTTTCATCTGTAGACTCCAGTGGCTGAAGAAATATCTTGCATTCCTTTTTTATCACTAGAGAAGGGAACAGACTTGTTGAAAGGCTGAGGCTGCAGGAGCAACAGCACAGAGCGCTGTAAGCCAGGCATGCTGCTGAACTGGATTTAAAAAGAGGATCTTGGTTCAGCATGTGAAGTGGACCACTAGGATTCTCTGTTGCATTCTGGCTGTCTTTCTGGACTTATTCTCTACATGATTTTCCCCTCTCTCATCTAGCTAGGGTGTGTTTGTTTTCCCAGGAGTGGTAGTCTGAGAGAAATTGTCACAGTTCACATGTGATTCTCTACTGGCCCCAAACTTTACTAAATGTGCTGAAAAAGCCTTCTACATCACCAGACAAGTCACTATGAACTTAGTGGAGTGTTACTAGTTCAGGAGGATATTTGCATCTCTTTTCCCTTGCCTTACTGTTCTATTTTGCATTGCAGCCTGCAAGTGGAGAAAGGTATTAAAGGATTGTTTTCTCACTAAAATGTCATTTAGTGACATTTGTCATATTTTCTCAACAGACTATTGTTGTTCTAGTGTGTTTTATCACTGCTCTGATAAGCCTGAGTCTGTGTAGTGGATTTGGTATACGTTGTTTTGTGTTAATGTATGCATTGATTCTAGTTGTAGAGAGAAGGCATTGGGCAAGTGTTTTTCATTTCTGTGGCAACAAGACAAATATATTGCCTCCACCGGAATGCAACACATCAGAGTAACTTCCCTCTAATTGTTCTAGGCGTGTTAAGAGTATTTCTCATCAGAGAAGTTTCTGTTGAATAGATGTAACACAAAAAAGCTTTCATGATCACTTTTCTGTTTAGGTATCGGATGAAGAAGAAATCCTGCCTCGTAAGCTCCAGGCTGCACTTGTCCAAATTTTGGAGGAGCGAAATGAAATCTTGTCACACGAGCAGAACTGCACACAAGGTATATCTGTAGAAAAGTCAGCACACCTCTTCAGTTATCAAGGTGCTGCCACAGAAGTGTGCAAATGGAAATAAGCTTTACAGAGTAACATTTTATAAAGCTATTTTCCTGTGATCTTACTGATAACATATTTCATGTGAATGTATTAGAAATCTGCTGTCCTAATAATTGTTCCTCTTTTCACAGTCAGTGTGTGGAAAACTCTGGTGTTACTTAGGCCAAGTGTATCAGTTTCCATGCTTTGAGTTTTCTGTAATTTTCCTGAAGGTGGTAGAGAGGAAGTTTTTCTGAAATGGAGAATAGAGTAAATTCTCTGTACTTGAGAGGATAATTTGACATCATTTTCAAAGTTGCTGGTCTTGATGCACAATCTTTCAGATAAATTATTTGAGAATTTTAGAAAGTATTGAATTGCCTGAGAGAATGGCATTGACAAATTGTGATTCCATGGTCATCAGCGTAAGAAAATTTTCCACTTGGTTTGTGTTTTGTGATTTGCCTCACTCTTTAAAAGAATTAGACTATTATGAACTTACTGCTTATTAGTTTTTTACTGGGTGAAAAGAAATTCTGAATGCTTTCACTGCTGGAAAAGCTTCAAAATGGAACCTGTCTCAGCAGAAAGCTGTCATGGGAGAGGAGTCTAAACACTTGAGCCAAGTCTCTTTTGGTATTGAACACCCATATGAAATTTCATAGTCTGAGAAAGCCAGCCGAAAAAGCATCTGTTGCTCTTCTTTTAGAAGAGGAGTGTCCCTCTAATGTGAGTCACTTTGGACATTTCTCCTCTGCTATCTTCTTCACAGGTGACATGCCTTTAAACTCCCTGGTCTCCGAAGCTTTTGTGCACTTCTTTGTGGAGATTGTTGGTCACTATTCCCTGCACATGAACGTTACAGAGAAAGGAGAGCGAGTGTTCCAGCGGGAACCATTCCGTAAATCCCACACGTCACGCAATGTGCGCCACTTCCTGCACTTTTTCATGGAGACGCAGATGTTTGCAGGGTTCATACAGGATCGAGAGCTAAGTAAGAGTGCTGTCAAAGGTGAGGCTTTCTTGTTTTACAAACTCACTTCCACATCACATATCTTTAACTCTTACAAAGCCTTTTGCCCCAGCAAGTTTTCCTGTTGGCATATGTAATAACTCTGTGGCCTTCTAGGTGTTCAGTAAAGTTAATCTCATTAAGCAAAGGATGCCTTTGTCTCCCTCCTGGCTTTGGTCCTGCACACAACGATGTTGATGCCTGAGGTGGAGGATCTCACCCAGCTGTGTGCTGCTTTCTCTCTGTAGGTCTTTTTGAGGTCCGTGCCTTGGAGTATCTGGAGAGCATTCCAGAGACTGAGCCGACTGGGATGAACAGAATCCTTCGCACTCTTGGTAAGGAGGCAGCTTTTTTATTTTATTTCCCTCCTATATTTTGCCTTGTGTACAATGCTGCTTTCCTTTGCCTCGCCCAAGGAGGCTGTGGATGCCCCATCCCTGCAGGCATTCAAGGCCAGGCTGGATGTGGCTCTGGGCAGCCTGGTCTGCTGTTGGTGACCTGCAGACAGCAGGGGGTTGGAACTGGATGAGCGTTGTGGTCCTTTTCAACCCAGGCCATTTCTTGATATGACTGTAAGGTATTTATTTTAAATAAAAGTTTTGACTTTGGATAAAATATGCGGAAGTGGTCTAATCCCAAAGTTGTCCAAACTTGGCAATTTCGGCCTTGGCAGTACGTGCAACACAGGACAGAAGTCCTTCTGTGTGGGTTTCTGCTCTCAGAAGCTCCTTGGCCCGCTGACCAAGATACGTCTCCAAATCCTGATGTGTTGTTTTGTTTTTGTTTTGTTTCCCTCTAGGAAGTAAGATGAAATTTCTCCAGAAGAAATGAACGTGCGCTGCCGTAGAACGGCAGAGAGCAGCGAGGAGGCGGGTGGAGAACCAACCCCTGCCCGGAGCCGGACTCACAGCTTCTACCACAGCTGAGGCGGCCACGCCGGGCCGCCATAACAAGCACCAGTGCCGCAACCAACCACCTGTGTCCTCTCCTCTCTGGGCGGGGCGGGGGCGGGTCCGGGCGGTGCGCGCAGGCGCAATGCGAAGCGCCGCTCGGTCTGAGGGTGGGCGCATGCGCGGTAGTCGCGCGCATCATGGCGGGACCGGGGTTGGTGGCGGGAGACGTGGTGGTGGACGCGCTGCCCTACTTCGATCAGGGCTACGAGGCGCCGGGCGTGCGCGAGGCGGTGAGTGCGGGCCGGGCCGAGCCGAGCCGAGCCGAGGCGGTGCGGTGCGGTGCGGTGCGGTGCGGTGCGGTGCGGTGCGGTGCTGCGCGGTGCTGCGCGGTGCTGCGCGGTGCTGCGCGGCCCGTTCCCGCCTGACGCCTCTGTGCGTTAGGCTGCGGCTCTTGTGGAGGAGGAGACGCGGCGCTACCGGCCCACGAAGAACTACCTCAGCTACCTGCCGGCACACGACTGCAGCGCCTTCGAGGTGAGCTGCCTCGCCCCGTCCCGTCGCGCCGTCCCCCCGCCCGCCCCTCACCGCCCTCTCCCCGCAGACCGAGATCATGCGGAACGAGTTCGAGCGCCTGGCGGCCCGGCAACCCCTGGAGCTGCTCAGCATGAAGAGGTGAGGGGTTGGCTGGGGAGGAATGCGGCGCGGAGCTCCGGGCGGGATCTGAACGGCGCTGCGTTTCAGATACGAACTGCCGGCTCCCTCCTCCGGGCAGAAGAACGACATCACGGCGTGGCAGGAATGCGTTAACAACTCCATGGCGCAACTGGAGCACCAGGCTGTGCGCATCGAGAACCTGGAGCTGATGTCCCAGCACGGCTGCAATGCTTGGAAGGTGTACAATGAGTAAGGCTGAGGCTGGAATGACAGCCCATGAAATGGGAGTGTCGTGGTTGAAGGTAGAAACGCTGTCCTGCTGATCCTCTTCACCAGAACTCACTGTTGAAATGGCTAAAAAACATGTGAGAGTGTAGCTGCAAGAAGCAGCAGGGCTGTTGCAGACAGGGAGCGTCGATGACGCTTCAAAGGAGTGTCAGCTTAACTTTAAAGAAAAGTGAAAAGAATGCAAACCATACCTTTGTGAGAAGGCCTAGGGGCTGTTCAGCTTAAGAAAAGGGCTCTGGGTGGAGGATCTGAAGGTGCTGGAACAGCTGCCCAGAGAGGCTCTGGATGCCCCATCCATCCCTGGAGGTGTTTAAGGCCAAGTTGGATGGAACCCTGGGCATCCTGGTCTGGTATTAAATGGGGAGGTTGGTGACCCTGCATGTGGCAGGGGGGTTGGAGCTTCATGATCCTTAAGGTCCCTTCCGACCCTGGCCATTCTGTGATTCATTCTGTGATCTGCTGGCTTACATACATTTGTCAGATAGAGAACTGTTTGTGTGCAGGCAGTGTTACAGAGTGGGGAAAAAATGCTGGTTACAGGTGAGCTTAGTGTGTAAAGTAGAAGATTGGTAGTAAGGTGATGAGATATTTCAATACTGTTCTAGTGGAAATAGTGTGAGCTTACAGTAACAGCCTTGAAAATAAAAAATCACCACCAATTATCAGATGTGGTTTATAGCATTGTGTGTCAGCAAGGGTTGAATGTGGTGATTATTAAAGGTGTCTGTCTTAAAGCTGCATATGTTGTAATGCTATCAAGTTGCCATAACCTTATAACCTTCAGGAGTGCAGGGCACAGACTGTGCTGAGAACAAGCGTGCTGCTTGCCCTTAGTGGATGGTTGCATGCTGAACTCTTCTGGAACAGTTACATGGGAGGTTGGTTAAATGGGTCTAACCTAGTAACTGTATGTTTCTCTTGTGCTTTGCTTCCATTCTGCTATTAGACATCTGGTTCATATGATAGAACAAGCCCAGAAGGAGCTTCAGAAGTTGCGGTGAGTGGTTTTTCATAGCCTTATACTGAAGTTGGAAGGAATATAGAAACTCCCCACCCCCTCAGCTCTGAAAGAGCCGTATTTATGCTGCTGTAGTGGTCCAAGGAAAGAAGATTCACCTTCCCCTCCCTCCTTCCCTGTTGCATTTACGACGTCTATTCCACTCAAAGTCTGTGGTTGTTTTTCTTTGTTGTTTTTGTCTGAACCTCTGCTTTGAGCAGAATGAATCGTGGTAGAGACCTCCCTCAAATGCAGTCATGTTTCCTTTTCACTGCTGATACCATTTTATTTAGCATGCAGTTGGCTCAGCTTGCCTGATATTAGGTTTTGTTTTCAAGTGAATGCTTTAGCAAGTTTACTAAATTACTGAGGGACAGAGGTGTTTTGTTGAAATGATGTTTTTAATCTTCTGTTGGGATTCTGAATGTTGTATTACTACTTTGTGGTGGTTGGATGCTGCTGCACCAGTGCTTCCTGGTGGGTACTTCCAGGACAGAGAATTTCAAGCAGCAGATTTAAACATTCTTGAATAAATGAGATAAGGAGGAAAAAAAAAATCATAGGTCTCTGTTTGTTTTGTTTTTTTTTTCCTCAGGAAGAGCATTCAGGATCTGAACTGGCAACGAAAGAACATGCAGCTCACAGCTGGAGCTAAGCTACGAGAAATGGAATCCACGTGAGTAGCTGGAATTTTTGGTACACCTTCCAGGAGTGTTTCCTGTATAGAATTCCCTTATGGAGAACATCATCAGTTTTTCTGTACTGCCATAGCAGATCATCAAATGGCTGCTGTTGATTTGCAGTGTTTTAGAGGGTGCATAGTTCAGCTCTGTGTAATGGTCACTGTGAATGGGTGACCCAGTGAGTGACAGCAGCTTGAACTTCTCGTGTGGATTGTTTCTTAAACTCTTCTTTATCTAAATATTGGACATTGGTGTTTTTTAGCCCCTTTTTCCTTACAACATTTCATTTCCTGGATTATATGTTGAAGTTTAACTGTTGAAAACATCTTTTTCTAACCGTGGTTGTTCAGATTACTCCTGGTGTCAGCTGTGTCACATACTGAGACAGATGCTGGTTGTTTGTGCCCTTGTGCTTTGCCACAACTTGCTGTCCCACTCTTTTGATTTTGAATTAGAGGATTGTTGTAAGCCCTGGTAACACCTGACAGCTTTCTTAAAATTGTTCCCTTCCAGGTGGGTGTCTCTTGTCAGTAAGAACTACGAGATTGAACGAACAATTGTGCAGTTAGAAAATGAGATTTCCCAAATCAAACAACAGCACGGGGAAGCGAACAAGGAGAACATCCAGCAGGACTTCTGACAGCTGCTCTCTTCTGACCGCTGCTCCGTGTTTTTGCATTTCCTACTGTGCTGTAATAAGCTTTGCTTTGCCCAATAAAGGCTGGTCCTCTCACCACGTGGTTGATGCGTATTAACGACAGTTCAGCGCCGTGCCGGGACCTGGCTGCGACCTCCGCGCGCGTGGGGGCGCCGTCGGCGGCAGCCAATCGTGATTCACGCTGGAGTGCTCGTAGAGGCGCGCGCGGCGCTGTAGCCGGCGGCGCGTCACGTGACATCGCGTCTCGTCTGTCCGCGCACCGCTTCGCACCGGGCGGCCACGCCTGCGCGAGCCCCGGACCCGCCCTCCCGCTGGGGAGCGCGCACGGCGCGTTGTGACGCTGTGCGTGCGCGGAGCGGGGAGTCGGGTTCAAAGGAGGAAACATGGCGGAAAACAAAGGAGGCGGCGGCGGCGGGGAGGGGGCTGCCGAGGCCGGGCCGGGCGGCGGCGGCGCTTTGGAGCCCGCGGCCGCGTCCCCCTCGGGCGCGGCGCCGCCCGCACCCTCCGCGGCGCCTCCCGAGGAACGGGAGAGCCCGGGCGCGGCGGCGGCGGCGGAGCGCGGTGTCGGGGAGGCCGAGGCCGAGGCGGGGCCCGGGGTGGTTCCGGGGCCGGGCCCCAGCCCGGTTCCCCCGCTGACGCCGGCGGTGCCGGGGCCTTTCTCGCTGCTGGACACCTGCGCCGTGTGCGCGCAGAGCCTGCAGAGCCGGCGCGAGGCTGAGCCTAAACTGCTGCCCTGCCTGCACTCCTTCTGCCGCCGCTGTTTGCCCGAGCCCGAGCGGCAGCTCAGCGTGCCCGTGCCCGGCGGCGCCAACGGCGACGTGCAGCAAGGTGAGCGGGGCGGCGGGCGCGATCCCGGGGCTGTTGTGTGCCGCCTTCCGAAGCCCGGCCGGCGGGGGCTGCGCGCGTGACCGCAGGCGTTGCGGTGCCGCGATCCTCCGGAATCTCCCGGCTCTCGGCTGCGCTCTCGCGTCGCGCTTCCACGTGAGAGCTGGAACTTCGAAGTCGATCTGCTCGTTCGGGGAACGGCGCTGCGAATCGCGCCGTGCTTTTTGTTTTGGCTTTCAGGGATGCTGCGTTAGAGGCGCGGCTCTGAGAGGTGCTGAGCTGCTCGGTTCTACAAATAATGCCTTCTCGGCGGTGCTACCGGGTGCCCCAGGGTGCGGCCTGGGGTGCATCGTTGGGAGCGCGGCGCTCAGGCGGGTGGCACCCGGTTACCTTCTGTGCTATGGAAGGAGATTGAACCGCAGCCTTGGGTGGTTCCTCAGGTCTGAGCCCGGTCCCGTGGCCGGCAGGACTCTGTTTGGCCACTCGTCTAATTTTGGGAAGGACTCTGGGTTGCATAGCAATGTGTTGTCAGATGGTTCCGCAAGGAATAACTCAGCTGTGGTGGTTCTGCTGGCTGTGCTGACTGCAAGCAGTTCAGCTGGGATGTAGATCCAAGAAGGTCCATCACTTCCTCAAGCACGAGGCTCCCAACACAGTTCATAAACGCACTAACTGAAGCACTCGGTTGATCTTGGGATCTCCCTTGCTAAATTCCAAGCTCTGTATTTTACATTGTGTATGCTGAAAGATATTGTGAAGTTAAGCTCATTGTAGCAGTAATTAGCAACATTGTCTGAATATATCTGCTGGGGTACAGGTGTAGTGAAACCACAGAGTTTCTCTTCTGAGTTACTGATAACCTGGAATCTCAATTCTTGTCACCCACATTTTCAGAGTGCTTGATGGTGTGCTTTGGTGAGATAAGAATTCATCTCCTGATCAGGACCTCACAGATGTCACGAGTGAGGTGCGTG